CAGCTGAACTCCAACACAGTTCTATAACAAGAGAGCACACAAAGAGAGCAGGGTTCTGGCTTGTGTTCTCATGTTCAACACAGAGCATCCTCCACCTGCTAACAGTCCCAGTACATTAACCTTCATGTTAACGGAAAAAAAAGCCTGGTCTTAATGTTCCTAGAGGTTTAAAAGTTAACTTGTCTTTCAATACAATGTAAACAACAGTCTAAACATTTATGCAACCAAATAATCTGAAAGCAAACATGAGTCTCTATTATAGTTGTCAAGGTAACCAGAGAGACCAGATACGGCCCAGTCAAAGCGCTGGCAGGAAAACTAAAGATGTCCAGTTATTAAACTACATCCAGTTCTGTTGAGACTGAATACAAGACAAAGCAACATTCATAGCCATTAGCACAACAGTACAAAACCCCAAAACACCCTCCTGTTATGAATTTCCACACACATTCAGGCTGGAACACCTGCATCCCATAAAAATTAATAAAAAATCTATTTGGTGACAATCTTTGCATCTTTAGTTTGCTTACTAGCTTGTAGGCTCGCAAGTGTGATTCCAAGTTAATTACTTCTAAACTTTGGGAGATGTACGTTGATGTACAAAACTCATTTCACTTGGAAATTAATTTTGTGCATAGCGGAAAAAGGTCTGTCAAAGAAAACAATTAGGGAGGGACATTATTCATAGCTTACTGATAGTACACACTAAATATCCTGTTGTATCAAAGCAGTTTTGACAGAAGGCTTTCTGGCACCACCTGGCCATTGTTCAATATGCTGCAGACGTCGACAAGGAAGCCTGCAACCATAACAATGACTTCAGAATGTGGAGTTAATGGTCATTTTTTCTTTACATAAAACAAGAATTTTAGCCTAGCCATATTTGTTTTAGCAGATTTGAGTATGATAGATACATATATAGTTTAGATTGAGAGATAGATGATAGATGGATTGATACTAGATATGCTGTTTTCTATTCTATAAATTCTTTAATAATATAAATGTATGAATGTATGCAAAATACACAGCATACAATGCATACAGCTCTGGAACCAAAGTAACACCTGAATGCAGTCAAACGCTCCCCTGATCAGCTTTGACTGCAGCTGAAAAACAGGAACATATGGGACTTCTGCGTGTCCCTGGACATTTCACCGTGACTCCCCACAAAGACACCAATCTATACATATATGCGGCGTGGAATGACAGAACTGCCTCATTGTGAAATGAAATTTAGTTTCCTCTCTTTTCCTTCCTAATTAGCCAATCCGCTGCATGGTGCAGGTCCCTGACTCGCATCAGAAAGTAAAAATGAACACAGACACCTGTGAGCTTTATCCACATTCTCAACCACATACGGACGCTTCAAAAGCTTTTCAGATGGGCCCAGGAGAGGCCTCAATGCATGGCCCCAGCCTTTACAAGCTGAAATCTGGGAATCTCCTGGGTCGCCATTGATCATGGCGGGGGAAGAAACATCACAAATGCTCACAGGTGGAGCCCTGGACAAAGAAACTCTTTATTGTTGGAGACATTGTCTGGTGGGTAGTGCACATGCGCTGACATGTTGCATAGTGCATAGTGCATAGTGGTTGTGCAATTGAGAATGCTTTCTAAATTCCAATTAAATTCCTGAATTTGAATTGAAGTAGCAAACACAATGCAGAATTGTTATTCAAATCTGAATCTAAGGAGTGGCATTACAATGAACTGAAATGTAACTACAATAAGCACAGGTTCAAACTAAAAAGTTGGTTTTGACAAGACAAAATGTAGAATTATGGACAAAGTCTTGTTTGAAATTTTAAACATTGTTTGAGTGTTTAGTTTATTTGAAATGCCATCTATAGAAATTTGTTCTTAATTTACATATATACTTCTTTATATGTAACAAATGTATTGACCAGGGAAAAATTTACTTGCAGAATAGCATCACCTGTTGAATTTCTGAATTGAAATTAATTAAATTCCACTTCCTTCAATTCCAATTAAACTTCCATTGTTGTGGGGCAATTCAATTCTTAAATTCTGACTTTCCCCAAACCTAACGTGGTGGAGCCTGTTTGAATTTGAAATGTTCCCCCAAATATGAAAATTGTCATTTACTCACCCTTATTTTATTCCAGACCTGCATGACTTGAATAACTTTCTTTTGTGAAACACAATAAGAGACTTAACTTTCATTGTATGGAATAATGCAATAAAGTGATGCAGATGTTGATTGAAGCTCTCATTCTACATGCCACCCTTCTTTCAAGTCATTCAGGTGTAAAACAACATGAGGCTAAGTAAATGACAGATTGTCCCATTGTGGCCAGAGCAAAAAATAAATAAATAAATGCATAATCCAACACATAAAAGGACTTTTAACCAACGAGTTTTTGACAGAGAGACAGACCATGTGGGGCAATGTGTGAAATTTAATTTATTCATTTAGGACATGAAAAGAAGGAAATACAATTCTGCAGACTTCAATATTTTTTTTATTAAATTAACCAATATTTTTATTTATCATGTGTCATATGTTAAAAGTAACAAACCCTATGAGTATAGTTCAGTAAAGCTGTTTTTCCATCAGACATTTAACCATAATTATACAATGTAGATGAAACCTAGAATCAACAGAACATAAATGAACATAATTAGACAGTAGGCATTATATTCTGTACTATAACTGGCACCACAGGTGTACTGATATACTCAAGTGCTACACCTGTGGTGCTGTTCTGCTCTTCCTCACCCCCTGCCAGCCACAAAGTCTGACTAAATCCAACAGCTTTTGACACTGACAAGTTGTGTAATTGACTTAAACTGTCTGAGCCTGTTTTAAAGAGCCATTGTTTCTGATGGAGATAAGTGAAATTGGTTTTATGCTGTAAACAGCAAATACAGAGTGAGAAAAGTCTATGTGTTGGCACGTCAACCCTTCCACACCCTTCTTTATCTCCACCCAGTAAATGCATTTAATCAGTTTAATCACTGAGGGGGAATCAGGCCCTGACCGAGCTTCTCTTCTCCTCTCTTTTAGACACTTTTCTAATCCCGCTGCCTCCAAATCAGCCCCTCACCTGCCAATCAGCTCCTCCTCAGCGCGACTGCTTCTTTTAAGTGGCTTTGCCTGTCTTAACTAAAGCCAGAGGATGAATAGCAATAGATATCAGAGGATGACGGCTCCGGCTGCTTTAAAAGGGATTTCTCCTGACATCTATCTTAAGTTTAAATGGCCAGTCGATTTCTGGAAGCAGGGATTTGTGACAGAAGTGTTGTGAATGACAACACATTGCAGGGGTATTAGGAGTACTGAAGAACATGTGTCTGAAATTGTGTAGGGTGGGTTGAGCAAAAGTGGGACATCAGGTAAAGCACGGCAAATAATTATTTGATTATCATTTAAACAGAATTATGAAAATGTTGTTATTTTTCATAATGGGCAAAATGTAAAAAAAATTAATGATGATTGGATGATGCATTAAAAAAAAGTACTACTTTAGCTTAAAATGTTAGGCCTATAGAACATGGGACAGAAGCTTTCAGTCTAAAAGCCTTTTAAAACTGTTCTGATGGATTCTGATCATTGTCATACAACAGTTAAAGCCTGAATATTAAACACAATCCCATGGCAATTCTTAACTATTGTACGCTTTGGCTAATTGGTTGCTAATTCATCTGAATTTGTACAATCGTTTGGTACATTATCATACGATCTGCTCATGCCCCAGTGACAGTTATGTTAACTGGTGGGCTTAGGGGCTGGCCTTCATGCTTACGTTTTTTCTAAAAATCATACAAAAATTTATACGAAATCGCCACCTTGTGAAATAGCTATGTTTTTCTGTGAGAATGGGTTGGAATATTTCATAATAGTCTAACTCTAGCTGCACTGCACAGATATGAAATCACAGATTAAAACTTCCAATGGTAGCTTGCTTTAAATAGTTTCTAGTCCAAGTTGGATATTTATGGTCAGTCCAAGATGATCTGGTGGACTACCATCTGGTGGGAAAATGACCAGGAAATTTTTGATCAAACTGGTTAGACTAGGGTGACCACCTTGCACCAGTAACAAACCAACATGTTACGCAAAATCATATTGAACACCTTTATCTGATTATTTTCACTTTTGTCATATTTTTGTAGTTCTTAAATTGTAGCAAACAACCCTGCCCCCTACTACTGATTTTGCTTATGATCACTTTACCTGGGAATAGTATGAAGAGGGAAAAATGAGAAATATGGCTGGCTTGAATTCAAACGCATAATCCCAAAGAGCATGTGTGAGGTTTGGCAGCTGCCAAATGGGATTACACAAATTAACCAAAGCAAAAGTAAAAACCCTTGGCTCCCGTTATTGCTAGCCATTTCAGCCACAAACATAGACTTCCTTCCAACAAACAAAATAGCCTTCCGTTTTCAAAACACATTGCAAATGATGTAGACGTAATACTTCCAAGGCACTCACGTGGTAAGATAAAAAGCCTTTAATTAACTGGGCTTAAATCGTTACAACAACGATACAACGTAACAAAATTGCAAATGACTTGGTTACACCCAAAAATCACGTGACATCTCCCACCTTGTTCTATGCAAACAGATAGCAGTAATGTTTACCTGATGATCAAACCTGTCAACAATCCTACTGTAATTCATCTCCAAGAAATTGTAGTCTATAGACATATGAGGCCATGTGAAATGCTCATATTATTATATTTTTGTCATCAATTTAAACTAAACCAAAAGTTAATAGTAATTGGTTTCTTCAGATAGCCTAGTTTCTTTTATAGAATTAGCCTACAGTCAAATTTAACAAGTCTCAATACAAGGTAGTCAAAACAACTTAAAAAAAACTGTTGTTGTTTATCGAATGTATCCCATATGTCATCGTAAAACATGTCCATGTCCGCTAAGAAACTTTCAGATCCTCAGAAATAGCACACACGCGTCTCCACAGTTATCTGCTGCTTTCAGATGTTGTAATGTTGGTGATGGTTTAAAACACCTACCGTGCTTTGTGATATCCTCGCGTTTAAGTACAGGCGAACTTAACGAAAACCCCGTTATCCAAGAGGATGAAAACGTCCTTAGGATTCCTTCAACTGCTGTGTGAATCTTTCGCCTCGTTTATTCATTCCTCTCGGCGGCACTGACTCCACTCAACACTTCGCTGTGCTGCTCGCTGTGCGATTCTGGGCGGCTACTAGACCTTCACGCCTCCTGTCATTAATTCTTCATATTCCACATAATGGTGACGAATTGTCCTGTAAATCAGACAAAATCACGGGGCTGGTATATATATATATATATATATATATATATATATATACCTACTACATCCTTTTATATATCATGTTATATATAACTTGACACTAGGATAATCCTTGACAGTGATTTAAACCGTGCTGCCGCAGCTATATTTTATCTGAAACCTAAATCAAGTCATTCAGTTTCCAGTAAGACCAAACCCCCTCTGACCAGCAGGTGTCTTTGAAATCTTTTTGAGCTGGAGGCTTTGTCGAAGACTTATTTATATATGCTTTGTGGAAAAACTCAGCATATGGGTATAGTCTTTTCCTCAGAGGAAAGATTCACAACTGAGCCTGCTGCTGATTTGATTTTTATTAACTACCAATAGACATATGAGTCACATATTACATGAACATCAAACAGAAGTGAGATTCAGTGCAGAAAATAATGAAGTCCACAAATGATGAGACCAAATTTTTTCTCCTAAATAAAGAATGAACATACTGCTATATCAGCCTCTGTACTTTTCTTTCCATTACTAGTTTCTCTGCTCCTCGTGTAGATCTGCTCAGCCACACGACACATTGGCCAGGGGCGGCTACTAGACCTTCACGCCTCCTGTCATTAATTCTTCATATTCACATAATGGTGTCCTGTAAGTCATACAAAATCACGGGGTCTCCAGTAAGACCAAACTCGCTCTGACCAGCAGGTGTCTTTGAAAATTGTCTGAGCCAGAGGCTTATCGGGTATAGGCTTTTTCTCAGATGAAAGATTCACAGCTGAGACACACTGTTGATTTGATTTTTATTAACTACCTGTAAACATATTACATGAACATCAGTCCACAAAAGATGAGAGACCAAATTGTCTCTCCTTAATAAATAATGAACATGTTGCTATATCAGCCTCTGTAATTGTACTTTTCTTTCCGTTACTAGTTTCTCAGCTCCTCATGTAGGGCCCTAATATAAAATATAAGATATTAGCACACATATTACTTCAGCATCAGTTCATCAACAAAGTTTCAGAAAATAATTTTTAAACATTCTTGCAGCCAGCAAGTAGCATTTTAAATCTTAAAAATATGTACCAAGCAAATATGCATCAATGCATTGTAATTACAGAATTCAACTGATTATCAACAAATTATTCATACATTTCTGTTTTCATTCATGCAGTTTTATCCAAAGCAACTTGCACTGTTTTCAAATGTACTTTATAATTCCTTGGGAACTGAACCCAAGGCCTTGGTGTTGCTATGATGCATTGCATCATATAGTAAAAATATCAATCCAGTCGAATCAAGTTGTAATTCGATCAAATATTACACCTCTAGAATTAGCAGAACTAGAATTTAAAAAAGAAAATGACGTTTGCAAAGACAGTTCCTGGAGAATCCTGAGATTAACCTGATGATGGCTCATGGCTCTCTCCTGTCTGGACTCGAAATAATGTGTATGTGTGCTCTTCTGAAAATAAACATGAACGTGAGTCTGTGGCATCACTCTTGACCAGTCAGACTCTGTATTGACTGTGACATTCAAGTGAGCGCTCAGTGCTGCCTGTAGGAACTGTAACTGACTGATCTGGGCTCTGTGAGGTCCTGAGAGAACTGCATAAATAATGCTTCAAGGCAAGGTGACCCAACCTAGATCATTACACGCTCCGCTTGAGCCCTGAGGCTTATATTTATAGACAAAGACTACAGGTACATTGCTCTGTTGCACTCTTCACTTTATTCTTTCCTGTCACAGACAATTTCAGCCATACATTAAGCCAGTGATGGTACGTTTTAGACACGTTTTAGAGAGATGTTATGCTCAGTAGCAAGCTCAAGGGCATGAGTGCAAACATTTTTTAGGGGATTTTGAAGATTTGATGATTCCTAAAATGATAGTCAAAAGGTCCCATTCTGATATTCTTCACAGGATCCTATTATATTGATTTAGCAGAAGTGCATCCAAAAAGTCACAGGTGACCTGTTTTCATATTTTCAGTTATCACTAATGCATAAACCAAGGACTATCTTGTAGTCTATTGTGTAATCTAGAGCCTATAATTCAGGGTTTAATTTCATTGTGTCAGAAGGCTATATCTTTACATTTATCAATGTGAATGCAAATGGTGATTTACTTTAATATAGAAATCTCTTTTTAAAAATCTAATTTTCTTTTTTTTTTTTTATCTTTAATCACAAAAGAGTGTATCTCTAATGCAGGGATTTCTTGCTTGTACAGTTGAATGTAACCATTCTGTATGAAAAGGTAATTGCATTTTGAGCTGCATTATCACTTATGATCTAATGGTGATTGAATTTCTGATTTTTACCGGAAACTGGGAATGATTTTTAATGAGTAATGTTGTCTAATAAGCCGTAGCTCTGTAGCTTTTTGAAGCCCAACTTGCTGTATGTTCTGCATGACAATTTGCTGTTTCATTATTTTCTGTTTTCCAGGAGGCCCATTGTCTCCAATGACCTCTGCAGGCAATCAAAAAAGCACCATACTGTTCATTACAAAAACAAATTCTATAAAAATAAATAATAAACATCTGAAAGTGAAGCTACATGTAAATTTAGGAAATAAAAGCATGCTGCATCCTGACTTTGGTGGTTGCATAATGATGTGCAAGAGGAAACCAGCTGATGTTATATTCTGCATCATGGTCCCTATATATTGTATGATTGCAGTTTTATCAATGTTCTATCTGTTATGGGAATTTGGCTTAGATAAAATGGTAATAAGGGAAATATGGGTCAAATAGAGTCTCTCAAATCCCTAAATCCCAAAAGAAGCGTTTAAATAGTTTTCCAAATGTCTTCCTTCGATTCTCCCACACTCTCAAATGCACTCATTCTGCGTTTCCTCCTATTCTGTCGATGACCGCTCACATCCTGTTGCGACAGTCGCACAAAAGGAAGGGGGAGGTGATTCATAACAGGAAGATCCCAGTGATGTGACCCATCTTTGATCATTATGTTTGTATAGAATGGATTGACTGGTAGGTCAACATAATAAGATTCAGTCTACCAAGACCAAGATGGCTTGCCCACAAACCATGATAACTTATCTTGTATTAGCAAGGCACTATACAGTCTAAGTAAATCCATTCAGAAATACAGTTACAAGGTAAAAAAAAAAAAAATCACAATATATGTCAGCATTTGTGGACTTGTGTGAGTGTTTTGTCCTTTCAGGGCACCAGCGAGACACTTGACAAACCATGACTTATGCTTCCATTGCTAAATGAAAATGAATGTGCAGTCTGGTTCTGTGCAGTGACTCATCTAGAATGTGTTGCCAGTTGTTAAGGGAATAAGACTTACTAGTTTCAACAGGACTAGAGCATCACATTTTAGACTGCACCTTGAATGATAACCACCTAGATTGGTGGAGAAGTCTGAAAGATCCAGCTCATTCGGTTAGGCACAATAAACCGCAGGGAGTCTGGGTAAGCTCAGGTAGAGGTCAGCTCTTCGCTTGTTGTGATACAGGACGTCCTCACCACAGGGAGCCAAAGATCAGACAACAACATTTCAGCTGCAAAACATATACAGTAGGGTTCAAAAAGTCTAACGCTAAAGAAAAGTTGATGTTTTTGCTCTCAAACTGGCATGAACTTTACAAAATTGTTCAAACCATGATGCTCATTCACATTTATGCATTTGGCAGACAGTATAACACTGCATTCAATGTACACATTTAGATTTGATCAGTTCTTGATTTCTCTGAGAATTGAACCCATGCATGACCTTGGTGTTACTGGTGCTACATGCACATCTTTGAGCTACAGGAAAGACCATGTTTATGTTCTCAAGCACGATTTGAGACTGATCCAAGAGCATCTTCAGCATCATTGTACACAAGAACATCTGCAGGTCATGTAGGAGTTGACATGATCAGTGTCACGAATTTCCACATCTGATTACTGACCAAGAAATAATGCAGAATCATACATATTTCTTGTTAATTTTACATCATACACTTAACAAAATTATAAACGCAACACTATTGTTTTTGCCCCCATTTTTCATGAGCTGAACTCAAAGATCTAAGACTTTTTCTATGTACACAAAAGGCCTATTTCTCTCAAATATTGTTCACAAATCTGTCTAAATCTGTGTTAGTGAGCACTTCTC